GGACACAACTTAATGACTGAACAACAACAACTGAATTACAGTTGTATTCTCATAGGCATTGAGTTCATTGTTCAGCGACTGAACAACAACAACTATTTTTGGTGAGGTTAATGGTTTCTTTTTCTATATATGGAGATTGGACTTGGACTGTTTGAAGAGAAAGAGGGAATTTGTTTAAATAGAAATGGGTATACAATATCAAAGGAATTAATCAAATTGGGTGTAATGGATATAATTTGTAATAATGTTATTTTTGATATACAAATAATGAGTCACTATTTCTGGTGATGTTTAATGGTTTCTTTTGATTGGGACTGGATGAGGATGGTTATTTTTGGTAATTTTTTTGTTAAACTGGAATTGAACTTCGACTATCTGAAGAGAGGAAATAAAGGGGATTTGTTTAAGTGGAAATTGAAATATACATATAAAAGGAAGGATTCAAATTGGTGTAACAGATATAGTTTGTAATACTTATGTAGTTACTTCTGATCATCTTTACTGGACTTTTGCTGATTAATATGGAGAGATAAAGATCTAGAGATGGGCTTATAGAGAATGGGGTGAGGTATGGAATTGAAGAAATGTTCATTGTATTTTGAGAGACAGTGATGGGTTGTTGATGTTGTTTATACTTGCTGGGGATGAAGGGGAAAGTATCTTCTATCTTTTTCTTTCCTTTTTTCCTTTTCTTTTGTTTCCTTTTTTTTCCTCTGAACTTTTTCAAATTTTTAATTTTTTAATGTATTTCTGTATTATGTAGTTAGATTAGTTTTATTTGTTTTATATAACTTCAATAAAGTTATTATAAAGAAAAATCATGGACATTATAAAATAAGGCTGTTCCTTAAAATGCACAACATATATCAGTAAATATGTTGTTCAGTCTCGTATAGTGTTGTCATCTACCATTCAAATGACACACACCCCATTTTTTTCCTTAGCCTTTCAGCCCCAAGCCTCTTCAAATTATTAGCATATGATAGCTACAGGCACTAAGATTTCTGTTTCACCTACTGCTTTCCTTGCACACTTTAATTCTGGTGTTTTGGGGGAATGACAAATAAGACTGTGAGACTAGGATATAAAGAGAGATAACTAAAATAGATAGGGCAAAAGTCTGTGTCATTATCAATCAATTAAATATTTGAGAAAAGAATCCCAATATGAATTCATAATCAATTCAGCTTACTAAGACATCAATTTGTTCTCTTCCTCCCAAATCAGATTTATTTATTCAATGTTGTTGCCACTCAACTCCAACTGACTTTGAATGGCTCACAAAACTACAAAGCAACATATAATAATCAAATTACAATAAAACAGACTAGAACAAATTACAAAAAGTAATTACAAAATAATTAGAATGTGTAAAAAGATAACGCTACCTATGTTCTCCTATTTCTCCTCCCAGTTATTTACTGTACTACAAACAAGAACTATTCTTTCTCCCTTGTGTTAAATAATCATACAAATATTTCACTCAGTTCCTTGGAATCGTTAGGAATGGGTAAAAATGCCAAAAGACTCCTGGTGAATGAGTGAAGTGCCAAAAGACTTGAAAGCAGGAAAAAATCCTCCCTTCAAAAAAAGAAGAAAGGAGAATCAGAGAAGCACAGACCAGTTAATCTAACATTCTACAATGTATTATTTATCATTATAATTATATTATTCATTAATTTTTGTAATTTTGTAATTTTAATTGATTTTAATAGTTTTGTAAACAGCCCAGAGTCATTCAACGAGATGGGTGGTGACAAATTCAATCAATCAATCAATCAATCAATCAATCAATCATGCCCCCTCATCCAGGTTCTAATATGTATTTCCTTTGTGTTTTTTCCATAGAAATTTAAGGGGGATTATTTCCAAATTAGTGTGGATCTATTTCTTCCAAACAGCAATCTGTTCTTTTGTATGAGCATATAACAAAACTCATATTCTGAACTTTTATATATGTGATAATATCACTTACTGGCCTTTTAGCTAAGATCAAGTATAGTACATAATAGTACTTTTTCTATTGCTCTCAACATGTAGAGGAATAACTGATGCTAAGAGGCCAAGGGTGCACAGAACCAAATTTGTATGTGAACAGAATAAGCAAGGACTTACATGATGGACAAGGTAGGAAGCTCTACTTTATCATTTCTGTGCGTTTTGGAAACATGAGGGAATTTGTAAGAGTCTTAACTCATCTCTTCAATTGACAGCCTTTTGTCTTATCCTATTTTTATCCTAATATTCAGAAGCCTAAACTCAAATAAAAAAATAAGAACTGGAAGGCAACATGAATAGCTATTTCATGCATATTGCTCAGCACACTGAAAAAAAGTTTGGTTAACTGTAAGCTAGAAGTGTACAACTGATTCTGAAAAAAGGATCTGATCATAAACTATCAAGCTATGAGAAACTGACATATTTTATGAAAATATAAAAAGATGTTAAGCAACCAAAAATAATAAACTCTGCAACAACTTGAAAAAATCTTCCAAATCTGATTTTTTAAAAACTCATATTTTATAAACCTTAATCTAAATAAGGGGATTCAACTATTATCTTCCTAAAGAGAATCAGGAACACAAATGAATGTGCCTATCTTACCGATATTCACAGAATCCTCCCAATCTTCCAATACTTCTGTGACAATAAGTACGTAAACATATGTTCTGTGTTTCCTGTCTTGGTTCTGAAAGGATGATCAACATTAAAGTTAAGTTGAAGGAATATAAAACCACAAAAAATGCTAAGAATTATTTTTGAGTTGAAAAGATACTTACAATAAATCTCATCAACACCAATGCTCAATTAAGATTTGATATGTTAATTAAAAAGATTCAAATACAACTAGAATGTTAAACTATAAATAAAACTTTTTCAAGCATTTTTGTCCTACATTTGCAAATATTACTTTTTTCTAGTTCCTCCAAACCTTGCATAGGGTTCAAATCAGAGAAAATTTATCTTCTAACCTAGTAGAACTTCTACATGTCTCCAGACTTTAATCACATATAAAAATGTTTTATCAACTCTGGTGATATTTGTACTTACCTCAAAAATTCCTACTAGTCTTCCTAATGTCCCTTTTACTCCAGCCTATGATATATTCAAAGAGAAGAAAAGACATTTAATATAAGTTATAGTTCAAATTATTTAAAAAGTCAGTTATAAATTAAATTATACACTTTACAAACTCTTTAGAACTATATATAATCCCATGATACTATGACTTACACTGTGCAGTGGTGAAAATTTGTGAGCCCTTTAGAAATATGCATAATTTGTCAATATTGTGTCCTACAATGTGATCTCCTCTGAGACAAAAACCAGACCTAATGTGCAAATGCTTGTGTGGATATGGCCTGCAATCACTTTGAACAAGTTAGTAATTATCATGGTGGCCATGAACTCAAAAGCTGTTTCTCCCTTCCCCAGGGATTTAAGCTGAAATCCCCCTGAACTGAAAATGTAAAGAAATCTAATGCCAACCTGTGAAAAAATGCTGTATAGTGAATTGCTGGCAGAAGCAGTTTTCAAACAACCTCACCAAACAGTCTGAACTGCCTCTCCATCAACAATATCAGCAGTCATCTTTCTCTTTTTCTAACACAACCATCCAGTGATGCAGAGCATTGCTGCTTTTCACTTATTTCTTTATCCCACTCATCCAATTTATGCTGTCTCCATCACCTCTACTAACCTCTGCCTTCAGTGTCATAGAAAACATTGTTATACAGCTGAAGAAGATTCAAATCAATCTCTCAGCCACTTTCCCATTTCTCTGCTGCATGCCACTACTCTGTCTTTCTTGTTTTTGGTCTTGTTGGATTGGAGCAGCATATATTCCCAAATATATTCTTCATTCCTCCTTCCTTCTTCACTACTTCCACACTCTTCTTTACCCACATACCCTTTTGCTCTTCTTCACTGTCTCCACCTTCTTCACACTCACAATTGTCCATTCAACTTCCTTCCATAAAGGATTACAGGCCTTTGTCTCAAACCAAATCTTCCTCAGTCTAATCCCTACCCCAGGCCCTGAGAAATGGTAGTAGTCCAGAGTCATCACAAAATGGGGGCTGGGGGTCACTGTTTGTGCCACTCTTTTTACTCAAAACAAGCAGCTAATCTTAATGTTGGCAAAAATTCAATGGGTTCCTGGGCAGTGACATCCTCAGGCTGCCATGATGGCCTGGATGTGAAGTATCATGGTTTGGGGCTATTTTGCAGCCTCGACATCGATACAGCTTGCAATCATTGAGGAAACACTGGATTCTGGAATGTACCAGTAAATTCTACACAAATATGTCCAGGTATCCCTCTGTGAACTGAAACAGAAGAAACTTTGGGTTTTAGAATGGGTAAGGGTCCTGGCCTTACTCCAATTAAGATGTGGCATGATCCAAAGTGAACAAGTCCTTCAAGACAACCCAAAAATATCAACTAGTTGAAGCAATTCTGTAAGGAGGGACGGGCCAAAATACCTCCAAACAAATATTCAGGACTGATTAACAAATACAGGAAACACAATTGAAGTCAGCGCTGCTAAAGGAGGTGCCATTAAATGGTCTTTTGTAAGCTGCTCAGAGCCCATGGGAATTGAGAGGCATAGAAGCCTCATCAAATAAATAAATATATCTGAAGCTTCACATAATTTTTCCAACAACAACAGGGCAAGTGTCAAAAACACGACACAGTATGTTGTTCTGGGATGCTGTCCGTTTAATCAGAATTTCTTTATCTATTAAGAGAACTCAGAGGAAGCTGAAATCACATTGTAAGTGACAGTACTAGCAAACTATCACAAATGTTCACTACTGCACATGAAATTTCAGGAAGGAGATGTCTGTAAAGAAAATTATATAGGACAAAGAATTAAAAAGCTGCTTCTATGTTATTATTCTGAACAGCCCTTTTAAACTTCAAATAAATGCACTGGTCAACTCAGTAACAGATCAGAGAGATTTATAACACTGGGGGAAAATGCTGTCTATTTGCGAGAAAACACAAATAATCTAACTGAAAAAATGTATTCTAAACCCATTAATGAATATATTAGAATTTTTACATAAATATCCTGAAATTCATGTTTTATTAATGGGTGACCCATCTGTTCTACCACAAATGATGACATTTTAAAAGCCTTTTGAAATAAATTTGGCCAAATACTGTAGAGATGCAATAAGAAATATTGTATAGGGCTTCCTTAGATTTGTTAACATGCACCTAGCTTAGAAAGTAGATAAGGCAATATTTTGATTTAAAACTTGATTTAGCAATTCAGAAAATTTATTTATTTATTTATCAGATTTATATAGCCACCCATCTCACAAATGTGACTCTAGGCAGCGTACAATAAACAACCAGTTGAAAACGATTAAAACAACAGTTAAACACAAATAAATAAAACCGCAAGAAAACAGACCGGTATCCTACACATAGTATAACCATCTCATGGGATCCCCATTTCCCTGGGATCCCCAAGCTTGCTGAAAAAAACATGTTTCAGGGACTTCCTAAATGCCAGTAGGGTCAGGGTTAATCTCACCTTGGGGGGGAATAATGGTCCAAAGGGCGGGTGCCACAGCAGAAAAGGCCCACCTCCTGGGTCCTGTTAGATGGAACTCTTTACCAGATGGGACCCATAACATGCCCCTCCTGCTGGACCTGATAGGATGAGTAGATGTAACGGGAGGGAGGTGGTCCCTCAAATAACCTGGTCCCATGCAATGTAATCTGCTTCTCCTCAGATACAACACAGTTTGATTCAAGGGACAAATCCAACTCTCAAGTTGGAAATCAAAAACTACTGACTATCATTCAAAGCACAAAAATGACCATTATTTTTCTCGTTTGACCAATTTAAAATTGTTTTTCAGGAATTAACCTCTTATGAGTTAACAATGAGCATCATACACATAAACAATTGACCTACATGTTTTTAAGGTTCTGTTAATGAAATTGCTGGTAATTTTTATTTCTTGAGAGAACTAGATGAAAATTCGAGATAAATATGAAGGGGATAACATCTGTAAAGCATCATGAATATGTTAGGGAGGGAGGCTTACATAAAAGCAAACTATTTTGTGAGTCTGCAAGATAAATGGACTTCCCCCTATAGGACTTTCCAGCTTTGGGCGGGGGCATTTTGCAAAGGAGCATTTTGGAGCAAAAAGATGGTGAGGGTAAGCTGGGGCAGCAGAATGCAGGGCGGCAGGGGTTTCAGAGAGCAGGATGGCAAGTGCAACTGTGGTTGGGACTGGGCTAGGGCAGCTGCAGCTTCCTCTAATGTGGCAAGCAGCTCCAGAGCTACGTGGTTACAAGGCAGGGTGCAGAGGAGCCAGAAGGCCAGAGACAGGGGAAGAGATAGGTGGGTGGGGGGAGTTGGAGGCAGTCCCTTACCTTACTGAGGCTCGGAGCTGGGAGGGACCGAGCCTGGCATGGTTTGGATTTGGGTGGGTACTCACTTAATAACCCGTGATTCTCAGTTAATGACAGCAACCAGGACTGCCAGGATTGTGGTTGCTAAGTGATGTGGCCACATGACATCTTGCTTTACAACCGCATCGCTTAGCGATGGAAATTCCGGTCCCAACTGTGGTCATAAGTCAAGGACTACCTGTACCATATTTCTATAGGCAACTGTTATGAAAACAATATACACAATAGAGATAATTTCTCAATGGGAAAGTTTTAAATTCTATGCCACAATTTGTAACAACTATTACAAACACAAACACTAGGCAAATTCTGCTGCTCATTAACAGGTATATAAAGAGTACTATACAATTAATACATGGACAGTTTTGAAAAGTGAAAGGAAAAAGTGGAAAGAATGGACAACCACTTTCAATCCAAGCAGGATTTGAAGACATACCTCTTCACAAACTTCCCGCACAGCAGCCACGCTAGGCTCCTCTTCAGGCTCCATTCCACCTCCGGGGACAATCCATCTGTCAGGATGACGACTACTGCTAACTAACAGCACCTATAAATAACAACAGAGCTTGTGTACATGTTTATACCTTAATTATGCAATTCTACAATTTCAGGATGTGATCCTGCTATGTAAAATTATTATTATGAATAGTTTAGGGATAATTTTTCAATTCCTGAGAGCATTCTGACATTTTTTTCTAAAGTCCAGCTGTACTTTACTCCACTCTCCGTCTTTATGAAATGAAATTCAAGTGGATTGATTGAAATACACATCAGAAACAGGCAGGAAGAGAAGCAGGCAATCTACTCTATTAAGCACATTAAACACCAAACTTATCTGAAAATGGAAATACGCAAAAATTAAATTCCCTTTAAGAACCAGCTTTGAGGCATGAGGCAGAACAGTTTTTAACAGAATGTTAAAATATAACAGAATATAAATGTTCACATGAAATAGTCAGATGTCTGCCAACTATGACAAACCTCTTCCCTCTACCTCTGCATACACGCACTCCCTGTATGACTCAATGTAAGATGGAGCAAAGAGCAATCACCAAAAGGTACATATACTATGGGCAACTACAACAGTAGCAAAGGATGGAGTTTTGAAACAAATAGTATTTACAAATACTTGTCACCAACCTTGGTAGCATTCATCCAAGAGTATTCTTAAATTTTGTTTAAAACAAAGGCCAAGCTGAATTCCAAGAAATCATACATATACCACTGTTCTAAAGAATATGGCAGAAAAAAATTAAAACTACTAAAATTGCCACTTCAATATATGAAACTTACTGTGGAGTGATCAGTGTGTGACTTCTACAAAGCTGTTTTATTCTACCATCTACTTACAATTTTCCAAAAGTGTTAACAGCCATGCTGGATACCTTCTCCCAGGGGTTTCTGCCTATCCAATAAGACCTAGTAGGGAGGGCCCATTCAGGTTCCATCCTTGAAGGGCTGTTTCTGTCAATGGCCATGAGGTATTTTTTCCACTAATCAGAAAATAAATAGATTATATTATTGTGAAAAAGAGATGGAGGAGCTCAATTATAGCATCAAAGAGATGGCCAGGTGCTGACTGTGGAACAGATCACAAACTGCTCATGTGCAAATTCCAAGTTAAGCTAAAGAAGCAGCAGCCAATCAGTTTCCACAATATGATCTTGAACCTATACCCACAATTTTCAAGGAAACATCAGGAATCATTTTGAAGTCCTGAACGTCACTGATAGAGAACCAGAAGAATTGTTGAATGAACTTAAAGAAGTCATTAAGGATGAATGTGAAATGAGACTGTCAAAAATGAAGAACAAAAGAAAGCAAACTGGATGTCAGAACAAACTGTGAAAATTGCCAAGAGAAGAGAAGTCAAAGCCAAGAAAGACAATCTCAGAAAAGAACTTAACAAAGAGTTTCAGAGAGCTGTTAAAAGATTTTTTTTTTCATCCTAGCATTTTTCCTGCAGGTGCAGAGTCTGCTTTTTCAGATCAACTGAATGTTGATCCATTGGTTGCAACAGGAATTGACCAACCGGCTTGTCACCTGAGCCTAGTGTTGTGGGCTGAGAGAGAGTGACTGGCCCAAAGTCACCCAGCTGGCTTTCATGCCTAAGGCAAGACTAGAACTCACAGTCTCCTGGTTTCTAGCCTGGTGCCTTAACCACTAGACTAAACTGGCTCTCTAGCTGTTAAAAGAGACAAGAAGCAGTATTACAACATCCATAAATCACAGAAGATGGAAAACAGATATGGAAAAACAAGGAAAGTCTTTCAAAAGGTCTCTTAACTTAGAAGGAGGTTCCAGCCTCAAATTGGTATGCTAAAGAACACCAATGGGCAAACAGTAACCAATTCAAAGATGATCAAACAAAGATGGAAAGAGCATACTGAAATACTGTACAATAGAGATGCCAACATCCAAGATACCTTAGAAGATATTCCCTACTTACAAGAACCTCTAGCACTTGAAGTTAGATCAGCACTCTGGTCATTACCAAGTTGGAAGTCTATAAGAACTGATGGAATACTCACAGAAATATGGCAAGTGACAGAAGAAGAATCAGTCAAGGTTCTAACCAAGCTACATTAGCAATTATTGGAGAACGACACAGTGGCCAACAAATTGGAAGAGGTCAATCTACATTCCAATACCAAAAAAGGAGACTTAACAGAGTGTGCAAACTATTATACAAAATCTTTAATTTCACATGTTAGCAAAATAATGCTTAGGATCATCCAATGCAGATTAGAGCTCTATATGGAAAAAGAAATGCCAGATGTTCAAGCTGGCTTTAGAAAACAGAAGATATTATTGCTGATGCACATTAAATAATTAAGAAAGCCAAAGAACATCAAAAATAAGTCACTGGGCTTCCTTGATTATAGAAAGGCCTTTGATTGTGTTGATCACATCAAGCTGATGTGCTTAGAAAAAAGGGGAATCCCAGAACATTTCATTGTCCTCATGAGAAACTTACATGCAGGTCAGGAAGCCACAGAATGGACAGAACATGGTGAAACATACTGGCTCCAGATTGGCAAAGGAGTGCAACAGAGATGTATACTCTTCCCTTATTTATTCAACCTATACGCTCAATATATATTAAGAGAAACTGGATTAGAAAAAGATGAGCATGGTTTTAAAACTGGAGGAAGAAATATCAATAACCTGTACTATGCTAATAACACTATCCTGATAACTGAAAATGCAATGGATCTGCAAGTTCTAATAATACAAGTCAAGGAGCACAGTGAAAAAAATGGGACCAAAATTAAAGAAGATCAAAGTAATGACAACAGGTAGATCAACCAGCCTTAGAACTGACAACGAATGAAGATATTGAAGTGATGGATAGCTTCTGCCTTTTAGGATCAATCATCAACAGTAAAGGAACAAACAGTCAAAAATATGCCACAGACTAACATTTGGTAGAGCAGCCATGAAGGCCTTGGAAAAGATATTCAAATGCCATGATACCTACACAGATCAGAACTGTCCAAGTAATAGTATTCCTTGTGACACTCTATGGAAGTGAAAGTTGGACTCTGAAGAACAAGAATCGGAAGAATGTTGATGCTTTTGAATTTTGGTGTTGTAGAAGACTCCTGAGAATACCATGGATAGCCAAGAAAACAAATTAATGGATCATCAAACAAATTAACCCAGAGTTCTCACTCAAGGCAAATGACCAGGCTCAAATTATTCTCCTTTGGACACATTATGCGGAGACCTAGTTTCTAGAAAAGGCTCTAATGCTGAGAAAAATGGAAGGAAAGAGAAGAAGAGGATGACCAGCAGCAAGGTGGATGGAATCAGTTGCAGCGGCAATAGGTATGCTGTTGAAAAACCTGAAAGTTCAGGTTTGGGACAGATCATAATCTATCTATATGGTCATGAAGAGTTGACAATTAGATGGCATATAATCAATCAATTAGAAAATAAAGCAATACATTTTTCTTTGGTACAGATTTTGTGAAATTTTACAACAGAATATTATTAAAATAGAAATAATATTTTTCTATTTAATAATAATAGAGTCTTATAAGGTAATTTCTGTAAACCAGTGATTTCTATACATCGAATATATGATGCATAAGTGATATGTTTATATGCTTAGTATTGTTTTCTAATTTGTTTTTTCCCCTTGTTTTGGTTAGTTTTTTGTTGTTTATTAGTTCTTTGTATTTCATTATTTCTCTACCTTTTGTATGTTTAGTTTTTGTAACCTTGTTATAAAATATAATAAAATGGGGGGGGGGGAAACAATGGCAAACCTCTTTTGTACTGTTGCCAAGAAAATTACATAGATATATCCATAAAAATACCAGGAGTCAAGTTGAATCTGAAGGAGAATTACATACACATATATACATGTCCATTACCCTATTCCCTTTTGAAGTAAGTAATGCTATGCAGAGTGCAAAAAGAGTAAAAATAGTGGATTAATTGAAAACATGAATTAGAAAAAGCAAAGGTAGCATAAGTAAATATAGTTTACAGGATTGTCATTTACTATATATCTCCATAAATTCTTATCCTTTCATGTCATCTTTGTTTCCACCATACTCATACACCACTTTTGATATTTCTCTTTTCAGGATCTCATTAACTCAATCTAATCATGACATTCACACAGGTTACCTCTTGTTCTCAACTGATTCACTTTTCCTTCATGTACTTGCTCTGTAATTCAATCTTAATCCCTTCTCTCTATGTAACCAAACTACCTCAACCTACTTTTTCACATTGGTTACCCACTTTTGTATTCAGTCCATAGTAATTCAGCATCCATTCACTCTCAACTCTTATTTTTCTTGTTTTACCTAAACACTTAAATATCCTATTCTTACTGGATTCAGTTTATTTTTACATTTCTCCTGAATACCCAGCTCTCACTTCCATATTAAGAAAGGGAGCAGAAGCATGCTCTTATGTACAGCCATTTTTTGCTTTTTTTAACAAACATTCCTTTTTTGCAACAAACCACATGGTATCTACCAACTTTCTACCTCCCTTTTTGTCTTAAAATTTCTCCATCCATTTTCCTATCTCCAGTAAGGTACACAAATTCATCTACATATTCTAGTTTTTCACCATTTGTAAACAACTTGCCATTGATCACTTCATTCACTTGACATACACAATTACCTTGATCACTGAGACATTAATTTTCAGATTAATATTTGCTGTAAATATTCAGGTTCTCAAACAACACAGCACCATCTACCAACAAAACTGCATGTACATTCACATCCCCAAACAGCATACCACTAACATCATTCCAAACATTTCTTATGCATGTATCATTAATACAAAACAACCAAAAGACCATTACACATCTATGTCTTACTCTCTGCTCAGTGCTGAACGATTTGCTAAGTATTCCACTTATTCACATGTGCTCCTATCATCTTCAGCAACCAATCTTTAATTTCATATTCACACAAAATATTCCATAATTCAAGCCTATTCACTTTATCATAAGCTTTCTCTAAGTAAACAGACATACAAGAAACTTTCTCAGTAAAACGCTGAAGAGCAAAAAGA